TGCAAACTGTGTAGCAATGAATATTCAAGGAAAGGCAGAACTACAACTTCTTAATTTTTTTTTTTTCTAATATTCATATTCGCAAAACATTCGCAGAGATTTTGCGAATACGAATGTGAATGCGAATATTCAAAAATATGCGAATATTCGCGAATGCGAATGCGAATATTCGTTACATCACTAATTTATATATTTTATTATTATAACCATTTTGGTGTCAATATTTATGCTGTATTTGGCCAATAAGATGTTTTTCTTTCTTCTTTCTTTCTTTCTATCAAGGACTTGGGTTAGGGACACAATGCTGATGATTAGACAAAAACCGACGTTGCATACTTCCATGTATTTTTGATAACTTTTTTCATTAATACCACATATTCTTGAACTGGGTCAAAGAAACTTTAGAGTAACTTGAACCATATGAAAAAATCGCGTGTTTAAATTTTCATTACCAGCCAATAGAGAAATTACAAAGGCAGAACGAGGTTCATTCCGATAACTATCAAAGAAGCATGAAGAAATAAATCATTTTGTGTAAAAGGCACGAAAACAGTGTAGTTGCAGTAGCATTAATGCCATAAAAATCCCCAATAATCAAAACCATAAGATTTTCGAAAAATAATAAAAGAACATGTCCATGTTGATAAGCCGGCTTTTATAAAAATCTATATCGAGAACATGAGGAAGGTCGACCAGAACAGATCCTTTTAGAGAGCATCAACTATTCACTAGAAATAGTATAATCGTACGTCTGGTCGTAACATGAGGTATCTATCACATTGTAAAATAGAGAGAAGGACAGTTACCCTGATCATATGCCACAAACAAATCAACTTATTTTTGTTTAAACTTTATAACTCTGAAAATAACTATAATACCACTTTTGGCAGTCGTGTAAAAAGGCAATTATTTTACCCTTAATCTTAATCTAAAACCCGTTTTGAGTTCATTTTACCTACTCCCATGTGAATAAAAAATATTTAGGCATTTTGCACTAAGTTTTATCATCACAATACAGGATTGTAGTGAAACTGTTGTTATTTACGCACGCTGACCTGATAGTAGTGCATTCTACTTTTGTTGTTTATAAACGACACCTTTTTTCTGGATTTCCATGAGGAACTTTTTTTTATATTTATTCCGTGTTATTAGATAGCTAGTTTATAATAAACCACTTGAAGCAATATACCTACTTTTATGTAATCAAGTACCATAATGTTTATTTCCATTTCTGTCTTACATCGCATTTTATACTTGTAAATAACAGTAATATCCAAACTGGATATTCCCAGATACGATAAATGTAAGCAAATTTGTATACATAATGATTTACTCAAAAATATAATTTACTCATGACAGATTAATGTATGAAAACTCCAAATTATAGGTATGTATATGGTCACGTATTCAGTTATGTTCTTGGAATACTTTATGGCCCTTTTTTATGAATAAAAATATACAGTATATATATATACAGTTATTCAACGTGATACTATTAAAATTACCCGAATAAATTATTTTTACGTAAGAATTACTCAGGAGATCTGAACGTCAGAATTTTCTTAGGTGGGTTATTCCGGACTATATTCTTTGACTATAATCACTTGGTCAAGATAAGGTTAGCAAAACAATTCGGATTTAATGACATTATATTCTGAATTTTTGATAGTTATAGGATAAACTCGCCCACCGAGAGTTTTGTACAAAGGATAACGTCAATAAATAAATAAAGTTTCGTGCATTAACCCGTAAAAACTAGTTTTATTTACAAAGGATATGATAAAATTTAGTATGACTGCTCTGACAATGTATAAATATTGTATTTAAGGCTCAGCTTTCCATTAGCTGTGGTTGAGTAGCGAGCTGAAATGTTTGTAACGCATAGTAATAATTATTAGAAACACATACACGAAATCTTTTTTGATGGAATCGAAAAGAACTCGAGAAAAAAAAATTGAAAATTAATATTTTTGTAGGTTAAAGTCAATTTTGACAGCCATTTTGATCAGTGCTGCCATTTTTTCATGCAAATATAACATGTTTCTAGTTGTCTTTGGTAAAATTATTTTTATTATGTTGGTACTATTGTCAAAATGACAGGTATACCGCAATTTTGTATTTGTTTTGAGATCTGTCAGCCAGTTTGTGTTGGTCGGTAAAAAATATGTTTGCTATTATTTACTTGGTAAATAAAAATAGTATGGGCTCAACACTTAGAAAAAAAGGTAAATGTGGCTTTACAACAATCTTTAATTCAGGAACGACATGGTCAACCCCGACACGTCTTGGTCTGCCCTGCCCCTAGAGTGTTTTTTAGTGCCCGGAGGCGCGGAGGGAGAGCAGCCCTCGCCTGCTGTGACAAAGCCGCAAGCACGGTGATATTATCTATACAGTATTGTGACTCCGCCCTGTCCTTGAAAATAAATGCCTACACCGAGCGCTGCGTTGGCACGCGGTAGGGCCACCAGCCTACAGTATTTTATGTAGTTTTGTTTTTAACGCGAGTGTAGGTAGATTACTCGTTTGTCTCTTTTTTCATCCTAACCACTTATTTATATATTATTCCAGATATTTTGCCCGATGGAAAAACCGAAATACCTAAATATTAGAAACTAATAACGTACTAGTAGATAGGTATGTAAAAAATATTCTATAAAGGTAAGACACCTTTCCAATATTTCAGGTAATTTAAAAAATGATATCTCTGGGTGTGTTATTGAAGAGTTCAAGCAACCAAAAACAGCAATTGTGCTGTTGTACGATATTGATCGTCGTTTGTTCTTTTCCATACTAAATTATGTAGGTATCTACTTAATTAAATCAAATATTTACAATACAAAACGCATGTTTAAGCACGGCTAACTGCATAAAAAACAATTCAGACCGTTCGGTCATCGTTGCGGCGCGGTGGCGCATTCGCGACTGGGTGCACGCCGAGAGCACATCGAACTCGAGTGGCGTAGGTATGACTCGCTTTCCGACCGTTTGTATGAAGATAGAATACTGTATGATATTATTACCGTGCCGCAAGCATCGTGCGACTCGTAGCGCCTAAGGCTGGTCGCCGCCGGAGGTAATGACCACCAAGCCGAAGGTGTGAAGGAGAGTGATGCTTGTGACTTTGTCACGCAAAGGCGGAGGGGCTGCTATTCCAGCGCCGGTGCTAAGGCAGAAGTACTGGCTCTTACTTCCCTAGTCCTTGTATCCTAAAAAAATATGATTTTTTAGGTTAGGTTAATTACTAAAAAAACATGCATTTCCGCCTAAAATCTTTAAGACCCCCCCTCCCCCCGCACATCAAAGCATCAAAGCTACCCCGAAATACAACCACAGCTAATGGAATTAAGTACCGCCAATACTGAAAATTATGAAAACTCCTACCACATCATTACCTTGCTACATTATTTACAAAACCATCAATTCCGCAATTTCTTAGTATCTTTCCTTCCATTTCTCTGATTAACACTTCGCAAAAATTGTTTTTAAAACAAAATAAATACAAATAATTTGTTGCCGTCAGGCTGCCAGGAAGTCTGATCTGTGAAGTTTCATTTTGTTAATTTGCAAAAATCAAAGAATATATTTTCATACATCCTTGTCTCGTCTGATCATAAAAATAAATTGAGTTTTGAAATGTAAGTTTTTGTGGCATAAACATCCATTTTTGTAGCATAAACACGAGGGGCTCAGTGGCACGGGTGGTTAGCGCGTTCGGCTGCGATCGTTGAAGTTAAGCACCTTTCGCAGTGGTCGGTCATTGGATGGGTGACCAAAAATCTTCTATCTCGAATTCCTCCGTGCTTCGGAAGGCACGTTAAGCCATTGGTCCCAATGCATCTGCAGCCATTTGCGCCCGCCAATCCGCACTGGGCCCATGGCCCAATCTCCCTATTCCACCCATAGGGGAAGGCCTGTGCCCCAGCAATAAAGACATTAATAGGCTGATGATGATGAATGATGATGAAGCATCCATAATATATTTATAATACTTCAGTAAAAAAAAAACAGCAGCTTGAAATGTGTGTATGGTTTAGTTTGTCTTTACCTGTGTATATGGTTTTAATTTCAACTCAATACTTTTACGCGTTCCTTGTGAACCGTCTGTCTGACAAGACAACAACGTGACCCACCTTTCCGTCCGGGTTCCGTTTTTTTCCTTTTAGGTGCGGAACCCTGAAAATCAGTTTAGAGTCAGTTTTCCCGACAGATCGATGCTTAGTATACAACTAAGAAAACAAAGATAATTTAGTGAAACCAACATATCAATCAATGTACTTAGATACGTTATTAATTTTACTGCAAAACTACAGATATTGCAATCCACGAAGACGCGCCCCACTATTCCTCCTAACCGTTTATAGTAAATGTGTGCCAGCTTCCGCCAATCTTTGAGTGTTATCGGTACACACTAATTATCTGTGATAATAATATGATAATTATCTATCATCATCGACCCATGCTCGTCCACTGCTGGACATAGGTCTCCCCTAATGCACGCCACTACTCCCGATTTTCTGCCACTCTCATCCAGCCCACTCCAGCCAGCCTACGAATGTCATCATCCCATCTTGTCACAGGGCGTCCCACACTACGTTTACCAAGTCGCGGTCTCCACTCAAGAACTTTACGGCTCCATCGGCCGTCAGTTCTGCGGCTTATGTGACCAGCCCACTGCCACTTCAGTTTGCTAATTCGGTGGGCTATGTCGGTGACTCTGGTTCTCTGGTTCTTATCTAATTATCTTTTTATCACTAATTATCTTTCAATCAAATATTGGTGGGGCGCACTACCTGTAACTAGCCGATTTCCTGGCATACCCACTTCGACTAGTCACTTTCCTTGCGAATACACCGAGCGATGCGGTTCATTTAATATAGTGTTGTTTTTTTTTGTGGACGGTACATAAAAAACAAGGCATATTTAACATGTCCAACTTGACCTCCAAGGTTCAGTATCGACGGCACGTCGCTTGCGCATGTATTCAATAGTTTTTCCTTGTTTGTTTATTTTGTTATTAACAGTGAGAAATATAAAGAAGAATCAAAAACATCTCATATAGTGATGGTGTAAATAGTTAAATTATATTAAATAATAGTTATGCATTATTTTAAAATCATGGGTTACCGGTTGATGTGTGTTGTGATTTCATTGCATTTGAGTGTAGTCTGTAAGTATCTGTTTTTATTTATTATTCTTTATTAAATTGTACATAGATGTTTAAAAAATATGAAACACATTACATTGACAGTTTTAATAGTAGCTACACTCGAAAATAACGTTTAAGGAAAAAGCTTGGGGCCGTCACTATGAAAGTCTTTAATTGTAAATGGTACTGTATCCTTACTAGTATAAGATTGAAAATTCCGTATCAAATAAACAATCGAGGTAGTAAAAAGAACTGACTCAAGCTTATATTGAAAATAATGATGTGTTGAATATTTGTTTGAAGAATTAAGACGTCGCAATAATAAATACAGATAGTGCAATCCACGAAGATGCGCCCCACCAAATTTTGGTTGAAGGATAATTAGTGATAAAAAGATAATTATCATATTATTATTTATTATTATCATAGATAATTAGTGTGTACCGATAACACTCAAATATTGGCGGAAGCTGGCACACATTTACTATAAACGGTTAGGAGGAATAGTGGGGCACGTCTTCGTGGATTGCAATATCTGTTGCTGTAATGATAATATCATATACAGATATAATTACTATACAGCTTTATTGGTGTTTAGAGGTTATCTTCACATTATTCTAAAGATAACAAATTTTATTGAAGTAAAATATAATTGACATTATGTTTTTATTAAAACAATAACGCGGATATTGAAACTTGCCATCCATATTGATTAACACATTGAATCAAGTAAAGTTTATATATTTATAAGCTAAAAATTGGTCACTATTTGAGACATCAAGTGACACTAAATTGGTCCTATATAGCTTTTCCATACCAAAATAAGAGCATTTTACATATAATAAAATAAGTTTGATCGTCCTTAGGCTATAAACTTAGGCAACTTTTTGTATTTGTCATTCGGCGAGCCACTTTGTTTTGTTGTTTTATCTCCAACGGCCGAATCCAAATGATAATTGTAGTAAAACTGGTTTTATATATAAAAACTTGTTCTGCGAACGTCTTGCCGCGTGCATCGGTTAAAATAACATTATTAATAATAGTAGCAACGTGATCGGTACTGTATGAATGTTTTTTTTTATCCATCGTACTAGAGTTTATCATATTAATAATATTAGTCACATATTGTACTTTAAAATTTGTTTAAGTATGTAGTTATTAGGTAAGTAAAATTTAACACCTAAACGTTTTCAGTTCCTGTCAAACTTTCCATGGTTGTCTGACGCTTTTAGCGATAAGACCGCTAGTTACACGCTAAATTATTATAAATGTTATATTGTATACCAAGGAGGTGTTATAATTAAAAGTTATCTAATCAAGAGCTTTACTATGTATTTGGTGGATGTACAAGTATTATTACGTTATCGCAGTTCAAAATTACGAAGCCACCATGGCCGCGGTAGCATTATGGTCATTCGCCCGGATAGCGAAGGGTGCGGGTTCGATTCCCGTCTACTGCTTGATCCAAATATTTTTCTAATTGGGAGCTAGCATTAGACACACCTGTCCTCGCATAGCAGATTATTTAAGTGCTGTACCCCTAGCACGAACCATTATCGAATTTGAATAGTTTGCGAGTGCGAAAAGTCAAAATATAAGAAGTTCGTTTTATAGTCAATAATTCTTAAATATTACGAGATTGGGACTAATTTAAATCTTAAAATGTACAAATAATAACTAATCTAAATCTTACAATATACAGAATTGAGGAAAAATTGAAGAATCGCTTTGAATAATATTAATACTAACTTTAGTCTGCGGCAATTCCTAAATATTGTCCTTGGGTACCTTTCACCAATGTAAGCTTTGTGTGCCAAACATCACGGAGTAAATAGTACTTAAAAAGACTACTAGGAGTTGCTGCTGGACGCTTGTCGTTCTAGCATCATGCTTTACGTATGTTCATTTTTGCGTACCAACAACATCTGGAACGATCTTCCCTCAGCTCGTTTGCCTGCATATACATAAAAATATGTGTGCACGGACCACACATCTGAAGTGAAACTCTTTTCTTAGATAACTTCCTAACATTAGGCGGTGCATAAGGCATAGGGGAATGGAGCAGCGCACGTATCACTCATATATATATGTATATTATCGCGTGTGACAATTGTGACGCTCGTAGCGATTCAGCCTTGGCCAAGTTACCCTCCAACCTTCATGCTCGTCGAAAAGAGCTGCGCACGCATCCCACACACACACACAGAGAGAGAGAGGGAGAGAGAGAGACAATAATATTACGCATTTACGTTTCATATTTTCTATAGGATTTATATTTACACCCCGTCCGCAAAGAAGTTTTACTTCGAAAACTCTTTTTAAACAATTACAATGACGTTAATGGCTGCGAATATCATATACGAAATGTTGATAAATTAACAATATTGTTTTGATTCAACGACAGTACAGTTTTAGTAAATAAATTATTCCAACATTAGTTAAGTTTTTATTACTACGTAATATCTGAGTGATAATAAATTCAATTTATAGTAACCAACTTATCTTTAAAACATACAATATGTTTATAACGATATTTTAAAAAAATGGGGGTTTGAAAATCTACAAACATAAAATTTTATAATTGTTATTTTTTAAGCATTTAACTGCTAGATGTTTAAATTAGAAGAAAATTCTAGCAGTGCCGTTTCTTCGCATTGTAGGTAACCCAAAATGTCAAATGAATACCTTTACATGTATTTTCTTTAATTAATTAATTAAATTATTAATTAAAAAAATTACCGCTAATAAGTAAAGTATTAAACATTTGAAAGAAGAAATAGAATAAATATGGAATATAAATAACAATAATTGCTATTTCTTCTTCCATCAGCAACAACAGCAGCATCTATAGATATAGCTAAATAAACGATTCCTATTTAACATGCGGAAGTTATATAGGTATTTCAAAACAACTAACTATGTATTTCAAAATAACTACTCTCATACAGAAGTCCATTTAAGGAATTATCAATTCCATTCTGAAAAAAAAATGCCTTCATTCCCAGTAGTTCCATGTAGCTAGTTCTACATGGAACCATTGAAACCTCAGAAATGAATGTTTTGTGCCATATATTTCCATGTAACTTTAAAATTAAAGCCGACATTTCTCTCATCGGCCCACGTAGCATTTTAAGTTTTGACAGTCCCTGGCTAAAACTAATGATACATAGAACAAAAAGTTATTATTTTTGCAGCTTTGAAGCTGATTTATAACCCATCTTTACGTGTGTTTTTAAAATTATTGTTCGACCATAAACACTTAATTTTGCTACAGACCGTTGAAACTTATAACAGTAAGTGGGCCGATAGATGTGTCCGGAAGTAGGTATATTTAGTCCCAATTATAGTTCAGTTCTATATAGTATTATTGTAACCTCAAAATGTGAAAAACATTTGTGCCATTTAGCTCTATGTAATTTTACACCAGTTTTACTCAATCTTTACTTAAAATGATAATTACCGATGTCTAGGAAATAGTATTTTGATTAGATTACTTTTTTTATTGCTATTTATTCTTCAGCAATTGTACTAAGAAGAAACCAAAAAATATTTGTTCAGTCACTAGTTTCATTTGTATTTTTTTATGTTTCGAACAATATACTTTTCCTTAGTTTGTCTTAGGGTTTTTAATTTATTTCGTATGGTACTACTAGCACTTTGTAAAACGAAGAATCTTTTTTTTAAATTATGAGGAACGTGTGATTTTCTTTAGCAATTACTACTTTATTGTATTTTATTGTGCAAACCCTCCAACGAGTTGGTCGTCATATGTTGCTTTATAAGACTACAAAGTAATAATTACACATTTTTTCGCAATTTATCCGTTAAAAAATAAAGAAATACTTTCGTGAAAAGTTTAAATTATATTTCCTTTTTTTCCTCTTTATATGTAGCTCCTGTAAAGAAGTACTAAAGGTTCGGTAATACTTCCATTAGTTCCATGCATGGAACTAGTGAGTGGCAGTAGTTCCCTGTGGAACTAGCAACATGGCATAGCAGTTTTTTTTAATGACTACATGCCAGAATTGTTGTATTAGTTTCAGAAGACTGCCAAACGCCTTTAGGAGTGACCAGTCAGTGCGTCTCTTTGTACGACTGCCCACAACTCCTGAGTGCATTTAACCAGCGGCCGCTGCCCAATCGAGTGGTCACCTTCCTGAGATATTCGCAGTGCGGTTTCGATGGGTACACTCCGAAAGTCTGCTGCGGTCCGCTACCAGAAGACCAGGGAGGTGATACTACGGTACGTGTTTATAAAAAGTCTGGGAAACTGCTAAGATAAGAACCTTTGTGATTCAAAACAGACCATTAAACTGACATATTGAAAAAAAATATAGGTATCTATCATATGTGTGGGTTTATTGAGGAAGCATTTAGCCGAAAACCCCCCTTATTAATGTTAATTTATATTCTTCTGTGAAAAATGAGAGATACTTAATACATGAGTTTATATTGGACTTTCCTGCAGCCAATTATGCCTAAAAGGTCACGAACGTCCTACCATTTTCGATTATAAAATCGCGATGGTATTTCCGTATAAACAAGGGAAATGGAAAGCCCCAATATTAGGACACTCCTATAATTACTTATACTCAATTTGTGAAGAAAGACGCTTACGATGCAAAAATATCATTTGCGCCGTTTTGCCTACCCTGACCCAAACCCCTCCTCACGGATACCTGAAACCTTACTCATGGACAGAAACACTACAATATCTTTGCAGTGGTATTTTACTGTGGTCCTCTGTAAGGTGGAGGTTACTTCCTCAGACAGGCGCTCCAATTCGAGCGAAAAATTCACTATACTTTTATCTCCACGAAAAATCCTCTCTGAAATCAGGTCCGTGCTCTGAAATTCATATTTTTATGTCGGCGCGAGTGATTTTTTGGTCAGCGTCTATAGGGTATGGTGACTATCAAACGGGCCAAATGCTTGTTTGCCGTCCTGTTAACATAAAAAAGATTCAGAATAAAAAAACAACAAATTGAGTATAAGTAATTTTAGAAGTGTCCCAATCTTGGGGTTTTTCATTTCTCTTGCTGTTGCTGTTTTTTTAACATAAAACATAGCTGACTGAAAATCAAATACTGCATGGTAGCAATCCTTCTAATATTCTTATCTTAATGTTCATGCAATCCTAAAACAATATATTTCTTTATTGCAGAGAAGACCAGCCGTGACCACACCACCAATAGGGACAGATGTAGAACCTGCGAATGGAGAGGATTCTTCTCCCTCCGGTCGTGGCGAGTGCGGGGTCGATACTAACGGAGATCGGATATATGGTGGACAGTTTACGGAGCTAGACGAATTCCCGTGGATGGCGTTATTGGGGTACAGAAAACGTATGTATCCTATCCTTATATTCTGGTATTCTCACGCAGTATTTCATATCCAGTCACGGTGAATGCAGCATCGATACGAACTTATAGACCTAATATATGGTGGACAGTTCCCGGAACTAGAAGTGTTTCCGTGGATTTCATTATTGGGGTACAGAATACGTGTGCATCTTATCCTTATATTCTGTCATTCTCACTCAGTATTTTAAATCCAGTAGCGGCGAGTACGGACTTTGCTGTACCAGATATATTATGGTGGACAGTTCACGGATAAATTCCCGTGGATGGTGTCATTTGAGTATAGAAAACGTTTGTACCCTGATGATTTTGCATTCTCTCCTAGGACCACTTGTAGCAATTTCACAAAATCTCGATTTAACTAAAACTAATCTTGCCCGTACAAGGATGTCAATTATGTTTAATGTAGATTTAACATTTTGATATTTCTGTTCGGGTTGAATATAGTTTTAGTTAAATCGTTAATTACCTGCTGCATGTGAATTTCAGAATTCCAAATCATCAAATATATAAAGCTAAAGAAAATTTTACTATAAGAAATGCCACTCAGTCCAAACATCAGACAGGATTTGAACCGGCACCTTTCGCTATCCGGGCGGAATAATTTCGTTTTTAGATTTCTAGTTTCTTTTGCTCACACAATACACGAGATTTGCGTGATCAAGGACTTAAAGATCTAGGACAAGATTACTTTTTTTGTTTCGTCAAAGCTTCTTTTGGAGTATAGAAATCTAGACGAAGAAATATTTATAACGCGTAACGTTAACAAAAGTCTTTAAATATTCAGTCATCGTTTGTTGTACTCCAAAATGTAGAACGACAATAATTGCAATAGTATTATGATTCTATGATTCATTTGTGCTGTTTCCATTTATAGGTTGTATGATTGTGTCCGAAGTAAATAAGATCATTTCCCTGTAAGGATACCTGAATTGTCCTGATGTATCACAATAATACAAATAACATCTATCTTATTAATTATTTTTTCCCTAATTATAAATAAACCAAGGTTTAACAACAATAAACTAATCTCATTTATTTATTTAGTGTGATATACTATGTATACTTACAAGAATCACATTTAACGCACATTTTAACTAAAATCCTCATGGTAATTTATTTGAAAGTGTGTTCAATCATGGGTTTGTTACCTTTATTTAATAATACACATTTGCTTTTATGGTAAAAGGGTGACTAACAAGCATATGGCCCGCTTGATGGTAAACGGCCACCATAGCCTGTAAAACCCTAGCGATACAAAAATATCACTCGAGCCGTTGCCTACAATGACCCAATAGGGTATTTTCCAAATTTTTGAAAACTGCTTATATTCAAAAATTGGGACAAATGATTTAACAGAAAAATAACAATAAATTAATTAATGTCTTTTTTCTCCATTACACCCAATAAAGTTGAATTTATTTTTAATAGTTTTGAATTTACCACGAAAACGCTCGGTTCGATGACGACTACTGTGTGACGTACATAAGCCAAGTTTTATTTTCTTTTTGTAAATGATTGTTTTGTTCGCCCTAGCTGATGGAAGAAGGACGTATCAATGTGGTGGTGTGCTCATCAACCATCGCTACGTGTTGACTGCAGCGCATTGTGTCACCGGCGCTGTGGAGACAGAAGTAGGACAACTGTAAGTTATAGAATAGAATAGAAAAAAAATTGTTAGCCTTAAACATAGTCATATTTATATAAATAAAAACAAGACAAAATAGGCCAACTAAGTCCCTGCCTCAGCTTAATACTACAGCAACACCAGGGCTGCTCCAGCGCTGATGATTCCGGCAGGGCCTAAAGTTGACTTAGCTTTTTTTCACTTATTCTGTGAAACTTTAGTTGACATATGTTAAGTTTTATAGTTATTAGCATAGGTAGCGGGAAACTTCTTGAGCAAAACCATTGACGAATAAACTTGCGTTGTAGACGTTTTTGAACATAAAATTGCTACTGCGCAGTTGACCTCGTGCAGTGTCTGTGTAAGTTGCTCAAATTTGGTTTAAGCGTTTTCAATCCGGAAAGGAGATTGCTCAAATTGGCCCAAATGCACAAAAAATATTGACATACACGGTAATTCTTGGCGTAATTTATAATTCAATTTACAGTCATTAGATTTCAACGGACACCTTTGCATAATATATTTACTTTAAAAAGGACTTTTAATTTTACCATTTTCAATGGTCGAAACTCAAGAAGATTGCCGGGGTGTATTGTTAGTTAGGCCGTTGTTTTAGCGTATTCTTGATATTTTGGCACTGTTGCAAATGCCACGATAACAGAGTAACTCAGCAACTACTGCAACAATGCCAAAATATTGGATACTTACAAAAAACAAAATACATCCTTACAATGCCAGTAATTACTATAATGTGAATACGTAACGAAGAGACCATGAAAGCTTAAAACAATGTATTTCTAATGTTATTATAGCAGCATTGATTTTCATTTAATTTCAAAATATCGCTCTTACTGATTCGTCAGTCTATGTAATAGCCATAGAGAAAGCCTTTACCCCAGCAGTGGGTATATCTATTGCAATATTATAAAGCTGAAGAGTTTGTTTGATTGTTTGGTTGAACGATCTAATCTCTGGAACTACTGCTTATTTTTTTTATTTATACACTGTTTTATTCAATCGTTGTATAATAAATGACTAAAACCCGTTCAAGTTTGTCGAGTCATTACACACTCGTCTTATATTAATAGGTTAATACTGATAACATAGTCAAAACTACGGCAATAAAAATAATAAAAAATGTATTACTGTGTTGGAGAGTTCATTTATCTTGGAAGGGTATAGTCTATATAACATCATGATAAAACTAATAAGAGCGGAGCATAAATAAAAAAAAACGAAAACGGAAAAAAATAACTCTTTACAAAACTTTCGTTGCGTGCGCTGCGTAAACAGCTAGTTTAACTTAAGTACTGATTCGCAATGAAGACACCAGACAAGACTGTTCCGTTATCAAAGACCTTTTCATAAATATCTTTTTCATACACATATATTAGAGCATATAAGTATTGCCAAAAGGTTATCTAAATAAAATATCTTTCATTGATGTTTTACATTCAAAATATTTACATCGGTAAATTACGCAAACACATACTAAATATGAATAAATTGGTATAAGGATAAAACTAGCTGTAAATCCTATTTTTTGCAATGTAGTTATAGTTGACTATAACAAATTAGGCACAAATTCGTTTTAAGCATTAACTCTTCATTATTCAAACGCAAGTATGTCCTAATTCGCTTTACCAGAGAATAAAGAAGGTACCTACTTAATGGTATGAAACTCATTTTTTTTATAAATAAATTGTTTCAGAGTCTCTGTACGCTTAGGCGAATATGACACTCAAAGCGAAATAGACTGTAGCGATGGCGTTTGCGCAGAACCGCCTCAAGAGATCGCTGTGCACCGGTCATTCCCACACCCAGGGTATTCAGATAGAAATAAGAACAAAAAGGATGATATCGGAATGGTCCGACTTGCTAAGAGAGCGAGATATACTTGTAAGTTTTTATAAAGGTTTTAATGACTACGATATGCCATAATAATATTCTTTGTGAATTCGGTTATATAAGAAGGAACCAATAACGAATTTGAGTGGTTGAATTAAATCTCGATAAGCGTCAAAGAAGTTTTGTGTCGCAGATTTTTATTTCTCGTTACGTCCGTTGTGGAGCTATTCAAATTCCATACAAAAGTTTTTGATACGTATCGAGATCGAATTTAACTGTTCCAATTTGATATTGCTATATGGTAAGAAGGGTACTTCAATACCTTCAAGATACACTAATAAAAAAACTGACACCAATGATGCATTATAAATTAGCATTGGTTGTTATTTGTTAAAGTATATTATTATTAATTACAATTTTAAAAGACGACTCGGGGAATTTTAAATGCCATTAAAAACTAAATCTTTAGAATACAAGAAATTCTGAATCATGAATCACAGGTTGTTTATTATAGAGCACTTGATAATGATCCTTTACACTGGGTTTTCTTTTATGTTTGCATTTTATCTTTGTAATTTTGGCGGGATTATTGTTTGTATCCAAGTTTATAATAAGGTGTAAGATGACTTTGTTTTGCGGCTTACGATGGAGTCAATTGGTAAAGTTTTAAACATTCAACTTGTGATAGCGCAACACGATCTTACACAATCAACATAGTTTGATCATGGGATTATTGTTACTATTGTTTAGAACTCTTTTATTTTCTATCCGTAATATTTGGTAATTTTCTATGTTTATCACTGTTTAAGAAGACCGTCATAAAACTTTATCTTAACTATCGTTTTTGTATAAGCACCATTGGAAAGAAAAGAAATAAATGTCAATTTGTAGTTCATATAATATTAATTTGACATATTTTTAAAAGTTGCTTAGTAAAATTTTGTATGACATTTTATTTTAAACTTATTATGAACACGGGTCTAACTTTTTTGTGGTAATAATGGTAATGTTTATTTCTACAGATTACGTGCAGCCTATTTGTTTGCCCGACACAACGACCAGAGTGGGACCTGGATTCGAAGTATTCGTGGCCGGTTGGGGAAAAACCTTACAAGGTATTATTGATTTTGTTAGCCTTCACGTATCACCAACTCCTGGACTTTAAGCGCTGTTGCTACGAGGAAAATTGCGGCAGCTATTTGTCATAATTTGAGAAGATATAACGCAAATGTGATAGGGATTATACCGAGACCGCACGGTGTTTGTCTAATGCAATGTAAACATTAATTATCTTCTCTGTAATCCTCATACGTGACGTATCATCATATTAATTAGCTACGTTTGTATTAAAACAGAAATTGTTTGTAAAAACTACTTAATGACGTGAAACACAAACTACCTATTCTAATGGTCCATTCAAATATTCATGTCTAAAAATTCACATCATTATTTTTAAAAATATTTGTTACTGAATGTATTCAAAGCACGAATATTATTCAAATCTAAAGTACACAACTACTTACACGTGAGAGTATTGGTTGATAAATCGTTGAAATTGCAATTATCTTTCATTAGAGTTTAAATAGTTCATAGGTCTTGCTATATTTTCTAATCTTATTTAATGTAACTGATAGGTACAAAATTAACTTGGTACGTCTTCCATTTTACTTCCAACTAGTTTTAAAACGTATATTTGAATAAACTATAACAGATTTCGCCAATACTCATGACAAACAGTCATCCGTACACTTCTGAAGTAACTGCTGAGATTGATAAACATTAATGCGGTTACTTGCTTCACTTTTAGATAGCAGTTGAAAAATTACCAATTAGAGGAGAAAACAATTAAATAAATTACATCGGATTACGGCCCCTAGTGCTCAATTTCAAATATCGATATATACAGTTTACATATACTTCTCTTTAGTTAGCCGCTCGAGCCGCTAACTCCGGCAGATGGCGGACGCGCGTGTGTAGACATAGAGATGTGATAACGCACCGACATCCGCGAAACCGCGCGGGTGAGCGATACAAATTAATATCCGCGCAACCGCCATCCGCCGCGGTTTGCGGCTCGTCCGTTGTGGCACTTAATATCAAATATCCTAAAAGCATTATTAAAAAAAATCTAATTGGTAAAACTATTTACAGGTACTAATAGCCCCGTCAAGCTGAAGCTAGTGTTGCCAGTATTCGAAAAAAATGACTGCGTGAACAAATATAAAACGCTTGGTGCCAATCTTGTGAGCGGACAGTTATGTGCCGGCGGTACCTTCTCCAAAGACGCGTGTAGAGGAGACTCGGGCGGACCTCTGATGATGAAGAGGCCGGAAGGCTCCTGGGTGTCAGTTGGCGTCGTATCGTTCGGCTACGGCTGCGGCAGGGACGGGTGGCCTGGAGTGTACACGTCGGTAGCAGCTTACAACGATTGGATTCAATCCATTTTAACTTCCACCAACCAATAGGGACAGCGATAGTTAAAGAACTTACCTGGACGATTTTCTCTCCTGTAAATCTAAGATTTCTTCCTTTGTCGATTGTCCCGTGTCAGCTTTCTTCCTGTACCTTCTGTTACATTTTTTGTATCGTCACAAACCTCTGTCAACTTTATTTATAAAATGTTTCTACGATCTGATCAAAAGACTTATTTTAATTACATCCTTTGAGAGAACAGTGCTTTTCATTATAACACAATTATAACACATAACAATAATACAATGCTATATCTACTTATGGGATTTTGCCTCAAAACATACGGAAAAATAAGTTGGTTGTGTTTTTTTAATTTTTTACTACATTTCTGTCTTGCTTTCTTCATTGAAATAATATTTCAAATAACAGAAAATAGTCAGTAACTAATCAGTGATGTAAAACACTATACAAAGAACTCCTTTACATAACCTATTTAAAAAAATACCTATTTATTTTTTTATTCACAATCTTCGAATTGTTTTTTCCGCTGCGTTCGAAAAATGGAAAACCCATAAACGCATCCTGTATTGATCAAAACTACATTCGATACACTATCAGCACGACATGTGTCGTAAGTGTCAAATGAGATAAAATTAAGTATGTATTGATGTTAATATAACGAATATATGTACATAAATACATATGTAATGAGTTGGTTAATAACAAAATAGCATTGGTGCTCATTTTGAAATGGTATTTATTTCAGTGTAACAAAAGGATATCTCTGTATTTTACTCGGCCATTTTGACTGATGACAGCTGCTTAAGAAAGCAGCTTATTAAGAAACTAATAAAACCACATCAAGACAGACCATAGACAAATAAGAAAAGGGCAGAGATATTCCTAATGTTACACTGTGCCCGTATTAACAACGAATAATAAAGACTGTTTTACTAAAATTGTAACCACATCTGTAATGCAACTTGAAATAAAAAAGTGAAATCTGAAGCGATTTCCAATATGAGTACATACTCGTACGTCTAGAATTGAAATATGGAAAGAGATTGCAACCATGGCTCAGCATCAACATCGGCTGTCGTTTGTTATCGATGGCCCTAAGTATTATTTATGGACGTCTCCGAGTGGCCGGAGCGTTTGACGCCCCTGTTATTTGCCCAGCACCTCTTTTTGATTTATAGTCGCCTGGTACTTTCAATATCTTTTCGCTTAAATTTATACTTTTCTAGACAAATTCTGTTGTCAGTTCATTGTGACTGACTGTTATTCATTTTGATATTTCATTTTATTCCAAACACCTAACCGATTTATATGCTACAAATTAAAAATCTTACAAGTTTAAGTAGGATTAGCACACCAAGGGTTCCGTTCAAATCAAAACAGAAATACTCTTCCCTTGATTCTAAGATACAAAGCTATTAATATAAGCAAAATTCTATCTCTATTTGTTCCTAAATTATTTGTCGAACATCCTGATAACACTAAAGTGATGCTGAATGCTTATATCTAGAATAATTCACAAATTTAAACCAGTTATCTTCGTGAAATTTATTTTTCAGCTAAATAACCGACAGTTATGTAGATGGAAAGGAAATTCCACCCAAATAACTGGTTTTCTCTATATTTCTTCCATCTGTAAAACCCCGTTATCTTGTTTCGTTTGGGAAAGAATAAAGAGTACCTTATTAAACACCTATCAAAAATGCACAAGTAACAGTAGGTACTATTCTGTATCTGTTTTCGGTATATATACACAATTCACACAACATTTCCTTAAACTTCTGAAAAAATAAATTTAATTTTGTACATACATTCCTTTCATTGCTTTTTCCCTAAAAGCTTTTTTCCTAACTTAAACATTATTGATACAAATGACTGTCGACAAGTCATCGACATTGTGAATAAATCAAGTGAAAGAAAACGAGGCAGTGATACATAGAAAATGTGGTTCTTATCGTTCTTAACACAAAGACCAGAATCGTTTGAAAATTTTCATTATTTGATGAGTATAATACTTGGGTCATTTGTTTCTCGTCTAGCGAGACAAATGAGCGTGGATCGCTCATTTCCTTAATCAAGATTCTTTATCTTGTGAGATTTTGGGCCGCAGATTATACCCGAGTTGTTTACGAGTTTTGTCAGTGACAATATTAATTTGCAAATGTCTTTTTAGGGCTCCATATCTGAACGGTCCAACCGGAACCCTATTGCTGTCACTTAGGTGTCTGCCATCTGTCACACAGGTTTAACAGCTCAAACTTAAACTCAGAATATTTTATTCAGTTTATACTGTTACAATCACTCATCAATGTCTAGCAACTACGGGAAATAAAAAGAAAACACAACACCACTAAAAGGTAGTTTCTTCTGTACCCCTAGCACGAACCAAAATCGTATCGTTTGCGACTCCGAAATATCATTGTCAAATGTGTACTGATTTTTAGTTCTCGTTACGTACTTTGTGCCGCTACTGTTTAAGTTTCCATACAAAATTTATAATGGTTCGTGCTAGGGGTACTGTATGGTGGATGTTACTTTCCAGAACGGGTCATATTGCACGCCTCACAACGCGTAAATGTGGGGGAGTGCTTTACTCTCGATAGGCCGCTATGTGACGATTTTACAATATTAAATCGCTCTTATCTCCCAAGTTAGACACTAAATCAATAAAAAACGGGTGTTTTGAAAACTAGACATATTAAATTATAAAGTCAGCGTATTTTTTCATTTACTTTTTTAGTATATATTACAAAAAATGTAGTTAGAAAATTATTAGTACTGCTGTCCGTTGGTCTGTGCACTTGTTTGTCTGCACGTTTTAGAGAATTAATACGCAATTAATTGTAATAAATCCTTTTGAATTAATTTTGACTTATACTGAGGATGAACCCTATTTCTTATCATGGTTATACTGATAACCATTTTAAAGATATTAATGAAATTCAATGGAATCTATTTACTGGATTTCTGTTTCGTGAATGTGAGGCGTGCACTTTTGGATTTTCCAATTTTTTTTTCTTGTATTTGCTAATGTCTATTGGCTACGGTGTCCACGTACCATCAAGTGGGCCTTAACTAAAAAAAATATGTTATAAGGGTGACAAATTAAAAAAAATTTAAAGGAGCACTCATAAAATTAATAACATTGATGCAAGCAACCAAAATAATCTAAACCCTTTATACTGATCAACCTTTGAAATCAGCAAGTTCGTTTAATTCCACGAGAAGAGACATCAAAGAGTCTTCACGTTTAGAATTTGATGAGCAGACGTAGACGGACAGCCAGCCGCTTCACTTTTGATCTTAAACCATGATGCACCTTCTATCTAATACTAAAATTGGTAACAGTAAACATATTAAAAAGGCTGTTCATTTAAAGTTGTGGAGTTTCTTCTTTCCCGAGTTTCTCTACAACTCAAAAAAATCCTTATCCAGATAGGCAAAAAATTGGACTACATAATTAAAATAGTTGCATTATCAACAATATGTTGCGGCCTTATGTTGATTCCAGAAATAAAAATTATCACATTGACATTTGATTTATACATTGGAATATTATTGTATTCATTGTGTATACTTTTAGCATACAAAACATTGAAAGAAATCTTAGGTTATATTGTGTTTTAAGCACAACGTCTGATTAATTGTTTATAATTTTGCTACCTATATGAACTTTTACATAATGACCTGCCAGTAACAAATCGGAAAAAGTTGTATAGGCATTCTCAGTACACAACCTAATCGAACCTAACCTTCGTCTATCAAGTAGATTATCAAAAAGTATTGGACATACGTATATTACGTATATTCGACAGTAAAATAGCAAAATTGCTTATACGCCACTTTGGTGCTGCTTAAAAATTAACATTAAATAATGGTGAAATTAAATCAATTTTTGAGCAGGTATAAGCAATTTTGCTTTTCCACAGTTTTATTAATTTGAGACGTCGTATGATTATATTTTTTATTTTTTTAAGTATTTAATTATTAGATGTTAAAATCTAAAGAAAATTTTACTAGAAAAAAAAACCATGCGGACTAGGCAGGTCCTGTGACCTGAACCCGCACCCTGCGCCAGTGTTGCCAACTCTACGTCTTTTTACGTAGATCTACGTATTTTAGGCCTTTTCTGCAAACCTACTAACTTTAGTCCCAGAATCTACGTATTTTCTTTAATTTTTTCAAATTTGTAAAATAACTTAATTCACTAGAATAAAGAAGAATATTTTCCGTTACTTTACTTAAAAACTATAAAAATGTTTATTTCTTATAAAGATGTATATAAAAACTCTTGTATCTTGTAGAAAAGGTTGCCGTCATTGGTTTTGTTGATTAAATTAATGCTGGACCCAGGATTTGTGAAAGGAGAAACGACAAAACTTTTTGACTTAGTAGGTACATTCGTAACCTTAAAAATTGAATTTTTAAATTTTAAATATTATTCAATGAGTACTTACATCGAATTGATGTTAGCAAAAAGAAATGACTTTCAGTCGATAAAGTTACAGGAATTAGTAAGTTTTTAACATGTGTTCATGTGTAAGCGTATGTATTATTTCTCTTGGCACTTTTAACCACAACTTTCTAGAGTCTTTTACCAAGTGTTTTATGATAACTTACTCTATTTTTCATGTGATCTATTAGAAATCATGATTTTATAATACCACATGGTCATGGTCTACCGCAGCATGGTAAATGCTTCCAATGCAGCGATTTCTCCAAGAACTCTTTGTTCCATCTCCCGTTTTTAAAGAAATTGTATAACAAAATACTTGTTTCATTCGGTTTCACCTGACTTCTTCATTACACTCAGAAAAAAGTACGTAGATCTACGTACTTTTCATATGCAAAACTTACTAAATCTACGTAATTTTCTCATCGGGCCTACGCCTTTTTCAAAACCCGAGTTGGCAACACTGCCCTGCGCTATCCGGGCGGATGCACTGACCATTATGCTACCTCGGCCTTAATTGTACGAGTCGAATTTTATCTAGTATTTCTTAGGCTGCAAGGCAGCGCCATTGTATGTAACACATAATATAAATATAATTGCTATTTTTCTTCTTTCAAATTTTTAATACTTGTAAAGGTAATATTTTAACATTGTGGGTTTTATAGTAAGTGTCCATTATTTTTTGATAATCTAACGAATCGAATTCGATTATCGAATTTCGTTTACCCCGTCATCACCCTTTATTGTGGGTTCGTATTTTACGTTATTCGCCCTTGAGGTATATCGG